GCCGCGCAGCATGCCATGGAGGTGCTGTGTTGCCGAGCCGATGAGGGGATGTTCCGGCATTCCGAACACGCCGCGCGTTGCGAGACATCCCCTCGTCTGGCGGTGCATGTCGTGTCAGATATAGTAGGAGTACGGCCTAGGCTTAGTAGCCTAGGCCACAGTAGGACTACGAAAGGAGGCGCCAAGTACGAGCTAGGATTGTGTGTACGAACAGAATTGAGAAGGAGTGATTGAACTAGCAAGCAGCAGGATACAAATAGCAAACCCTAAGGGGCTGTACTCACTATTGAGTACCCCACTGCAGGCTACACAAACAACATATTCTGACACACCCCCATAGCCAAAGTGGGGTGTAATCAGCACAATGAGCAGGCATAGTAGGAGTGCACAATAATAAGCAAAGCTAGGGGTAATCACAGCGGGCAAGTGAGGAGGAGGAGGGACTGTGCGAGGATAGAAGATGGGAGACAACGGCTGAAGTTTCAGACACACGGGCAACAGGAGCTGCTGGCACAGTGGCTACCGAGACAGCGCCCCGGACTACTGGAGTAACTGGCTCACGGGCTACGAGGAGCTACAGGAGCAACAGACCCACGGGCGACAGGCGCAGCAGACTCTCTGGGCTACCAGGACAGTGCGCCCCGGACTACAGGTGCTGCGGACGACAAGACAGCAGCCTCCACTCAACCTCCTCCGACCGTCCCACACCCCTCTCACACACCCCCTGCTGAAACCCTAGCTCCACTCCCACGGCACCCCCCTTAAACCCTAAACCCTCGGCTCCCACACACCCACCCCCCTCAGCGGCAGCTGCAGCAGTGGGAGACGGAGGAGGAGGAGGAGCTTCAGGTTACCCACACTGGTCACCCCCATGCTCGCCACCCCACACCCCCACCACCGCGGAACGTACGGCGGAATGGGAGCAATGGGCAGCACGGGGGGGGGGGGGGGGGGGGGGGGGGGGGGGTGGGGGGGCTGCAGGGACGGGCCGCGGGCTGCTGCAGGTGCGGGCTGCTCCAGGGGCGGCTGCTGCAGGTGCGGGCTGCTCCAGGGGCGGCTGCTGCAGGTGCGGGCTGCTCCAGGGGCGGCTGCTGCAGGTGCGGGCTGCTCCAGGGGCGGCTGCTGCAGGCACGGGCTGCTCCAGGGGCGGCTGCTGTAGGCACGGGCTGCTCCAGGGGCGGCTGCTGCAGGTGCGGGCTGCTCCAGGGGCGGCTGCTGCAGGCACGGGCTGCTCCAGGGGCGGCTGCTGCAGGTGCGGGCTGCTCCAGGGGCGGCTCCAGGGGCGGCCGCTGCACGTGAAGGTAGGAGGACGGGGGGGGGAAGAACGCGGCCCCCAGGGCGCCCCGACGGCCGACGAGAAAGGGAGCCGCGCGGCCCCCCCAGGGCCGCCGCGACGGGCGACGGGAAGGGCGCCGCGCGGGCCCCCAGAGCCGCCGCGACGGGCGACGGGAAGGGCGCCGCGCGGGCCCCCCCGGAGCGCCACGACGGGCGACGGGAAGGGGAGGCCGCGCGGCCCCCGTGGTCGCCACGACGGGCGACGAAAAGGGCGCCGCGCGGGCCCCCCCGGAGCGCCACGACGGGCGACGGGAAGGGGAGGCCGCGCGGCCCCCGTGGTCGCCACGACGGGCGACGAGAGAGGACCGCGCGCGGGCCCCCTTGGTCGCCACGACGGACGACGGGAGGGGAGGCCGCGCGGGCCCCCGTGGTCGCCACGACGGACGACGGGAGGGGAGGCCGCGCGGGCCCCCGTGGTCGCCACGACGGACGACGGGAGGGGAGGCCGCGCGAGCCCCCGAGGTCGCCACGACGGACGACGGGAGGGGACCGCGCGCGAGCCCCCCGTGGTCGCCACGACGGGCGACGGGAGGTGAGGCCGCGCGGGCCCCCGGTAGCAGTAGAAATGACGGGCGCCACGACGGGCGCCACGGAGGGGTAAGCCGCCACGCGTCCCGAGCACGCGGCGGGCAGAAACCCTAATTTCGGCGCCGCGCACCACGGGGCGCGCGGCGGACAGTACGGCAGCGGAAGCGGGTGGTGGGCCCATACACAGGAAGGCGGCAGACATGCCGCCCTCTGATACCATGTCAGAAGTAGTAGGAGTACGGCCTAGGCTTAGTAGCCTAGGCCACAGTAGGACTACGAAAAAAGGCGCCAAGTACGAGCTAGGATTGTGTGTACGAACATAATTGAGAAGGAGTGATTGAACTAGCAAGCAGCAGGATACAAATAGCAAACCCTAAAGGGCTGTACTCACTATTGAGTACCCCACTGCAGGCTACACAAACAACATATTCTGACATGTCGCTCTGCTTCGGCGATGGCAGCAAGTCCGCGGCCGGCAATTGCGCTGGTTGATGCTGTTGGCGTGTGGCAATCCCTACAGATGCCGTCTGGGTCAGGGTCGCGCAGCGCCAGTTCACGTGGGTGAGGATGATGCGGCACCCACGGTCTTCCGTCAGGGTGTTTCCAGTCCCTGCGGTGAACGTGCTCGAAGCGCAGTGGAACGAGTTCGATTAACTCGTTCGAATCGCCGCTGCAGTCGGGAATATCGAAGTCCAGGATTTACACTCCATTTTCGGAGTGCGCTCTTCCGATCTGCCTGCAGGAAAATGTCGGCGATTCATAGTGCAGCAGGATGTCGCGTGTTTTGCGATCCGTGCTGAGATCGACGCCGCAGTCCATGAGCTTAGCGACGGAAAGTAAGTTGAAGCGCAGGTTCTGGACGATCAGCACATCGTTAAGTGTGATGTGCGTGCGACTTCCTCGTGCCTTGAGCACAACGATGCCTTGAGCGCTTGCGCGCAGGCGCGTATTATTGGCCACGGTGACGTATGTGACCATGGGAGTGGGGACGGCGTTGGAGACAAAACGCTCGGAGCCCACCATATGCTGGTCGCAGCAGCTGTCCAGGTACCAGGTGTTGTGCCGCTTCCTGTCGTCACATGCGAGCAGCGCCAGATGCGACGTGACGAGGTGAGGTGTGTCGAACTTCAGGAACTGCTCGCGCGAGAGCCAATCGAGTGACACCGCCCACATGTTAGGTACGTGCGGGGGACTTTCGAGCAGCGGGACTGGGAGGTTCCAGTCCTGGTCGTCGTCGTCGGTGAAGTCGTGGCGCGTGCTGAAAGGGTTGTTGTTGGGGAATGCGCCGATGGGATGTGGAGCTGGCTCAGGTGATGGTGAGCGCACGCGATGACGACGAGATTCACCTGTCATAGCCATGTTCCCTATGGCATTGCGTACAGGGGCAGGCGGTGACGGCTGCTGCTGCTGATGCTGAACCACTGGGTTCAGATTGCGCGCAGGGGGTTGATACCCCTGGGCTAGACGCACGTCGCCTCGTGCGTCTTGTCGGCCGGACCAGTTGCTCGGATTGGTCTGACGAGGGCGAGATCGGTATTTGCATCGATCTGCCGAATGCCAGAAATTTTTGCAGTCGAGGCGCCGCGGCCGTCGCTCTTTGGTGTTGTCGGCGTAGAAGGCGAGCCGTTCTCGTTCTCGTCGCGGCGCTGGTCGCTGCTGATCCATGTCCCTCTGTTCGACGAGAAGGGCGGCGCAAAGGGCGGCGCAAAGGGCGGCCTCTGAGATGACCCCCTGCTGTTGGAAAAGCGCCTTGTAGGGCCGCCACTCTGGGCTGAGCCCTTGAAGCACGATATTCACGAAAATTTCTTCGGATATGCTGCTTTCCAACTTCGCAATTTGGTCGCGAAGGCTCCGACAGCGATTAATGTAGCTGTTGGCCTTCTCCCCTGGGGCCATTTTGATCTCCAGTAGCTGCTGGAGCAGCCGGCTCGAAGAGACGGAGTCCTTCGGCTGATACACGCCATTCAGGTGGCGCCAAGCGTCGTGGGCTGGAGCAGGTGAAGTTTTGTATGAGCGGATGCTGAGTTGCTTCGCCCGCGACATATTGCGTAGAAGAACCCCGTACGCCATCAGAGACTCGTTGTAGTACCTCGTCCTGGCGTCGTCAATATCTTCAGCAGGTTCCGCGTAACTCCCGTTGAAGTAATGGAAGATCTGAGCGTTCTGCAGCAGGAGCTCCAGCTCGAAGCTCTAGGTATAAAAATCTCTGCCGTCAAAGTAAGTACTTGTCTTTATTTTTTATATGCTGAGAAACCTTGATTGTGCGGAGAGACTTGCTTCTTCGCTGGGACGGGGAGTCTTAGGGGTTGAACCATTTGTGTCAAGGAAGAAGGTGTGCGGGGCGGTGTTCTGGCCGTTCGGGGCCAGTTGAGAGGGTTGCGAGGAAGTTCCCGCGTAGCCATTCCGCAATGTTTGGAGACCCTGCTCCAGGCTGGTGAATCGCTGAAGCAGTTGTGCGAGGACGGCGGTTCCAATCGTCGTCGTTTCCTCGCTTGTCGCAGCCGGGTTGGTCTGCGCTTCAGCCGTCAGATTCGTCTGACCACCAGATCCCCCGGCCATTCTCACACGCGAGCGTGTGCCGGACGCCACTTTCCATTTGTCGAAGCTTTCGGAGGTGGCAGTGCGAAGGATTCCCAAGTCGCTCTCATACCATGTTACAATCAGAGAATGATCGACCCTAGGATCACCTCGGGTTCGCAAACAACTGAGTAGTGGTGGTGGGCCCTTGAACTCAATAGCAGAGTGAATGTAAAATGCTTTGAGATGAAAATACAGAAAGTATAAATATGAGTACAGGGAATTCGAATCGTCCTAGCTAGCCATGTACTCTAAGGGGTACATTCCCTTATTCAAAGTCATTCCCAACCGTGCGGCGCATACAATTACGAAACTGTTCCCGCCATATCCCTCTTCCCTGCAGCTGCCCGATGCCGTCTGCTCCGACGGTCCAGATCCTCTCTAACCGTCTGCGTCGCTTTGGGTCAACTCTGACTCCTCGTATTCATTCTCGATACTGCGTGCTTCACTTAGCTGCGGTCAGGAGTGCACAATGATATTTTACCATTCGTAACACGCTGTCCCTCAATTTGGTCAATAAGCCAGTTTGAACAAGTCTCGCCAGCAACCAACATTTGAGCTCATGATTTGTTAGAAAGTCCCACGTTGCTCCTTGCTCCCTGAGCGCGCGCAATCTCCATGCTCAGGTTCACATCCGAAGCACTCTCCAGCTCGCGGTCAATGCGTGCCGCCATGCGGTCCTCCTCCTGCCCGAGAAACTCCTCCTTCATGACGAGCAGCTCGCCGAGCACGCGGCTGATGGAGGGGCGCGAGGCGGTGGGCATGGCGGTGCAGCGCAGGGCGAGGCGGGCCATGCGCAGCACCAAGTCGTCTGGCGCCTCCAGCTGTGGGTCCTTGAAGGCGCTTGCATCGCCAGCGGCGAGCAGCGCACCATTGCTGACAATGCTTACAGGTGGGGTTGGAGGGGTGGTGGGGCGGGGGGAGTGGGTTGGGGGGTGGGGAGGGAGTGTGGTGCGAGGTGAGTTTAGGGTCGGCTCAAAAGTGACATGCGGGATAACTACCGCAGCCAGCCTCCTAGCGAGCGGAGCCCCCACATGTTTGCCATCGCTGACAATGCTTACAGGTGGAGGTGGGGACGAGGCGCTGGCAAGTTGGCAAGGCGTATAGGTGAGGTGGGTGCTCACGATGCCTACATGTGAGCTATCAGGTGAGAAGTACATGGGAGAGTTGGGCAAAAAGGGAGTGTGAGACGAGATGAGGGGCATGCGTGATGACTCGCAGAGTGCTGAGCGGACAGGCTAGCTCAACCCGCCCCCTTGTGCCCCATCTCCTCATGCCCGCCCCCTCATGCCCGTCCCTGATGCCCTCCCCCCGTGGTTTCCCTCCGCCACCTGGAAGAAGAGGGTGATGGGATCGCGTGTTGTGATCAAATACAACGTGGTGTGACAGCATTCAATGCAACTGAGTTTGTGTGTATGATGTTTGCATGTGTGCACTTGTTCACAACTTGGAGCAATGCAGGGGAAGAAGGTGGAAGAAAGAGCTCACCCACTGCTTGAGGTTGATCTGGTCTGCATCCTCGTTGTAGATGGCCTTGCGCGCTGTGATGAGCGTCAGCATCACCACTCCAAAGCTGCGAGTAAGAAGGGTCTTAAAAGCATAAGGCACAACAACACAACAAGCGTGCTACAGTCTTCAACTGGAGAGATATGTTGGATGCGTAGTTCTACTACCAGAGTTTTTTTGCTAAAATATGTGCGCATCACCCACACCTGTGCGCATCACCCACACCTGTGCGCATCACCCACACCTGTGCGCATCACCCACACGTGTGCGCATCAGCCATACCTGTGCAAATCAGCCATACCTGCACGCATCACCCATACCTTGCACATCATCCATACCTGCGCACATCATCCATACCTGCGCACATCAGCCATACCTGTGCACATCATCCATACCTGCACACATCAGCCATACCTGCGCACATCATCCATACCTGCACACATCAGCCATACCTGTGCACATCATCCATACCTGCACACATCAGCCATACGTGCACACATCAGCCATACCTGCACACATCAGCCATACCTGTGCACATCATCCATACCTGCACACATCAGCCATACCTGTGCACATCATCCATACTTGCACACATCAGCCATACCTGCACACATCAGCCATACCTGCACACATCAGCCATACCTGTGCACATCATCCATACTTGCACACATCAGCCATACCTGCACACATCAGCCATACCTGCACACATTAGCCATACCTGTGCACATCATCCATACCTGCACACATCAGCCATACCTGCACACATCAGCCATACCTGCGCACATCAGCCATACCTGTGCACATCACCCATACCTGTGCACATCACCCATACCTGTGCACGTCACCCATACCTGTGCACATCACCCATACCTGTGCACATCACCCATACCTGTGCACATCAGCCTTTGGTGTGGCCTTCTGTGATTTGTAGTAAGCCGGGTCCACATAGCCCGGTGTGCCCATCACCCGTGTGGAAATCACCGACGTGCCCTCACCATGCCTCACAAGCCCAAAGTCCGCAATCTTGGCCTGCAAGAGGGTAAAACCCGAGACGGATCACATTATTCATTGAATGTACACAGAAAAAATCGCTCAATGGACAGCTGCAGATGCGGAGAGAAGGAGGAGGAATCATGGATGGGTAGTAGTAATTGTTGGTGCCCAGACCTGCATGCTCTTATCCAGTAGGATGTTGGCAGGCTTGATGTCGCGATGCACGATGCCGAAGCTGTGGAGGTACTCGAGGCCGCGGGCCATGCCGATGAGAATGTCCAGCCGCATTCTCACCGACAGGGTGTGCGGACACTCTGCAGGCGTGGATGGGACAAGTGCAAAACAAGTGTCAAAATGAAAGTGTAATGCATGCACAGCACGTGAAGCGTCAAAGAGCAAGTACGGTTTGAGATTGATAGGCATCATGCATGTGGAACAGTGCAAACAGCTAGGCATCATGCATGTGGAACAGTGCAAACAGCTCGCATATGCAGCCTTTTGTCAACTCGGGTAGGCAGCAGCGCAGCAGCAGGATGGTGGCGGCAGTGGAGGGCTCATGGGGGGCCTGAAATCGTGCATACACGTCAGCTTGGGTCAATGTCATGAGGCTCATGGGGTGTGATTCGGAGAGCCTATATGGCAAGGCAGCAAGGTGGGAGTGGAGAGCTCACGGGGACCAATCCAGCGGTCGAGGTCGCCGTTGTCAATGAACTCGTAGATGACGATCTGCTCCATGCGCTCCGTGTCTGGGCTGATGTCCAAACAGTACCCTATCAGCCGCACCAGATGAGGATGGCTCTTCGTCGCCATCTCATTCACCTGCTCCCATGTGGGAGGAGGAAGCGGAGCGGGGGGGTGGAAGGGGGTGAGGGGGTGTGGAGGGAGGAGTTTGGAAGCCGAGGAGTGTCGGGAGTGAGACATATAAACTTGTTGAGAATAGCTGGGGAAGAAGGGAAGAGGGGACCGAATATAGAATGTTACAGTCTGCACAAGAGTTACAGGATGCTCGCCTAATGATCATTCCCTGAGGTAGTGTGCAGCGCACCTCACGCTTGAAGTCGTTGGTGAGGACCTTGGCTCGTTTGACGGCCCAGATCTCATCTGGAGTGGTGGGGTTGGCGCCCTTGTAAACATCCCCGAAGCTGCCGCTGCCAATGCGGTTCGCCTCGGCCCACTCGCCCGTCGCTGCTGCCACCTCCGCCAGTGAATATTGCCGGCACACTGCCGGTCGCGCCTCTGCACCCCCTGCTCCCACATACCCCCCCGTTGCACCCGCTGCTGCTGCCGCCGCTGTTGCTGCGCCTCCTGCTGCAGCAACGGCTGCTGCGTGTACGGCTGCTGCCTCTGCGGCGGAATCAGTAGCACTTGGGCGCCCCCAAGGCCACCTCCACCCTCCTCCTGCTCCTCCTACCACAGCCACTCCTGCTGCTGCTGCCGTTGCTGCTGCTTCTTTTCCTTCCCCTTGTGCTGTGGCCGCTGCCACTGTGCCAGCTGCTGAAAGTGCTGGTAGTGCAAGTGCAACATCCCCTGCTGCTGCTTCTGCCCCACCACCTCTGCTTTTACTAATCTCTGCCTCAGCTGCCTTCGCCTCTCCCCCCTCCTCCCTCTCACCCTCACCACCACCGGCTTCCATCCTCTCCGCCTCTCCCTCTTCCTTGCTCTCCTTCTCCCGCCTCTCCTTCTCCCTCTGCTCCTTCATGCGGATGCAAGTGAGGTACACAATCAGCAGCAGCAGAGGTAAGACGATCACAGACGTAACCACAAAGCCTGCGATGTCTTCCGTGCTGATGGTGATGCCTGTGTCGTGACTCGTGGTTGCCACTAGAAAGAACAAAGCAGAGAGTCAAAGGATCAACGAAAACCAGTGAGTTTCGGGACGTGAGTGCACGAGGTGATACTGGCCAGAAGAGATTGGCGTGGAGCACACAAGAAAGCTTGCAGTCAAGCTAGCACGAAAAGCCGCAGAAGTGTGGAGGGTAACTCCCGAGGTGCCCCAAGTGAGAGCAAGCAACAGCCGACGTACTCCAGGAAGGGTTGCAAGTGGCACAGAAGCTCGGGCACAGGCGGCAAAGTGGAGATCCAAAATACTGGTGCACCACACAGTCTCCCTCGTTGACAGGACACGTGAAGTTACCCCAGTCGATGATCCTGGCAGGGATGATGTTGGAGTACAAGTGCCATGAGGGGGGGATAGGAGGGCATTACCATTCCGGGGCAGCTGGTGAGATGCTCAAGGCTAGGAGATGACGGGCCGTTTGACTGAATCGCGCCCAGCAGGAAGCTCTAAAAGGCACAACCAAGTCAGAGCGATGTTTGTCCTCATTCCATCGTGCTTGTTCCCCACTCTCTCCCTCCCCTTGCATATCTCCCCCTCTCCTCTCGCCCTTCCTCCCTCCCACCATCTGTCCCTGTTTCATGCCTCGTACATTTCAGTGCTACTCTTACAATCTGTCCCTGTAGGAAAAATCCCCCCAGGAAGCAGGAAGTGGTCCGGATAGCTGGTTGGATTGGAGTTGGCTGAGAGGGAAGGGCAACATGGGGCATGGGGCATGGGGCATGGGCATGGGGTATGGGGCATGGGGCATGGGGCGGCATGGGGAATGGCGCATGGGGCGGCATGGGGAATGGCGCATGGGGCTGCATGGGGAATGGCGCATGGGGCGGCATGGGGCATGGGGTATGGGAAACCCAGGTGGCGATGGCTGGTAGCTTTCAAGTAGGGTGAACTTGAAACGATGGTTGATTGAAGAGCAGCATGCATGCTGTATCCAATGCTTGAGAGAAACCACAAACATACTTACAATTCATGTTGAGAGGCGAATTTATAGTCTGGTATGGCAGGAAGGGTGCCAGTGAGTTGGTTGTGTGAGAGGTCCCTGCATGACAACATGTGAGTGGATATACTAGGAACTTTCAAAAGTGCAGATGCACGCCTGAGCTTGTTTTGTTCCTGGCCATCTCCTTACTGAAATTCTCCCATGAACCCTAGTCTGTGCGCGGTACTCTTTCACAGCCTCTCACTTGCACACGCCCACCTAACATATTGTAGTTCAACAGAATCTTTAAGACTGGAAAATCCAATGCTTGTGTGGGGGATGCAAGGGTACCTGTGCTTCTCTCTTTTAGCACGTTCTTATTACCACACTTACAGATATTTGAGTTTTGAGAGCAGCATGATTCCCGACGGAATGCTGCCACTTAGCTGATTTATTGAAAGCTCACTACGCACAGGATGGTGGGGAGAAAATGTAGAAAGTCGGATAGGGAGACGAGAAAGGTTGGGAAAAAAAATTCGAGTTTTATATGACTTCGCAAAAGTGTAACAGGACGGGATTCGCCATGCGAGCATGCATGGGAATCTCCGAACGGGAGAGAACTTGTATTGCCTAGCTAGCTCCGAACAACACCATCTGCTAGCCTAGAGGACTCTCCCGTATCCTTGTCAGGAGAAATCGTACAGCAGGGCATGGCATCGAGGCGCTATGCCAAGATGCCATGCTAGATAAAGTGGCGACGCGGTTTACCTCCCAAGTCGCCATCCCTTCTTCCTAGCATAAATAATCCTCTCTAGTCTTTCTTGTATCATCTCTTGCTAATCTAATTTCAGAATCTCCTTCTTGATCTCTCTTCTACGTCTCTTGGAGCTAGGCCTCCTCCCTCTCTAGCCTAGCTTCTCTCCCTTCCGCTGCAACGTTCTTCTTTCTTCTTCTTAGCTACGGCGCTGCTCTCCTCGCTAGGCCGGCCAGGCCAGCCGCGCCGTGCGCCGCTGCGCCGTAGCCTTGTTTAAAAAAGGTAAGAACTAGACGAGCTGATAGATTCCATAACGAGGTCAGGATGGATATATGCGCCTCAAGAGGCGTGCGGGCTCACAGCTTCATCTCCAAAATGTAATGTCTCAAAACGCTCCCACGGGAGTCTTTTGGAACAGATTCGGGACACTTGAGAAAGTGTCCCCAAAGACACTTTCGGGACCAACTCAAATGTGTCCCGAAACTCTCTGCATCAATTGTCCCCAAAGAGACTTCGGGGACAGTTTCAAGACAGTTTGCGGGAGGTTTCGAAACGCATGCAGGTCAATTCTGGGTTAGCTTGCATTGCAACTGCACCTCTTGCGTTTGGCCTTAAAGCCCCATTATATTATATACAGTGCATTAATACAATGTTTGTACAAAGAATACACTAGAAACGCTAATGCATATTATTTTTCCCCAATGATGTATACAAATTACCCCCCCTTCCAAAACCAAAATGATCAAACTCAAATAAATTATCTGCCATAACACAAACACCGCAACATCTAAGTAGTGGCTTCAGTTGAGGCATAATATGAGAAGAAACGAGAAATGAATGAACTATGAATGAAGTGGGTACAAGTACTAACCCTAATTGGGTTGTATTCCCTATGGGATACCCCACTACAGCCTACACAAAAGTATAAGCTATAATGTTCTGACACACCCCCATAGGCAAAGTGGGGGAGAACAAGGGGTCACAAGACCAGTCAAGCAAAGCAAAGCAAGGCAAGCTCAGGGTGGATCACAACGTCACCACACATTCTGAGCACAAGTTCAAGGCCACAAGGCCAGTTCACATGCAGGAGTACATATATATATATAAGGCTAGACAAGCAAGAGCAGGTATATATATAGGTAACAGTACAAGCAAGATCAAGGGGTGAGCAAGTGAGGCAAGACAGGGACAAGACCCAGCTGAGTGCAGAAGCGCTGATGATCACAAGGCGGAAGTGCCTTGGTGAAAACATCAGCAGTGTTGGCCTCAGAGGCCACGTACGCAAGCCGCAACTGACCACGCTGCTGTAGCTCACGAGCAAGGAAGTAGCGAAGAGCAATGTGCTTAGTTCTGTGCTCCAGTCTCTGCTCTCGACACAAGGCCAGCATGGCCTTGTTGTCTACGTACAGGACTGGAGGAGAACGAGCCGGCTCTCCAAGGTCGGTCAGCAGGTAGGTGAGCCAGCGAAGCTCCTGGGCAGCCATGGCCCCAGCGTAGATCTCAGCCTCACAACTGGAGCCGAGAACAGAAGACGAGCGAGTAGCCCGCCACGAAACAGAGCCGGAACCGAGGCTGAAGGTGTAACCCTGGGACGACCGCTGCGTAGCCTGGTCGTCAGCCCAAGAAGCGTCCGCGTGCCCAGTGAGGACCACTGGACTCCGCCCTCCAAGCACTAGCCCCATGCCCGACGTACTGCACAAGTAGCGCAACACCCTCTTCGCTGCAGCCATGTGCTCTGGTCGGTGTCTCCCAGGAGCAACATAGCGTGCAAGAATGCTAAGAGGGTATGCAAGGTCAGGTCGTGTGCAGGTCATCAGGTACATGAGGCAGCCAACAAGCTCTGGATACGGGCCACTCGACTCTACGGACTCATCCGAAGGCAGAGCTGAGAGTGAGTGGCGAGTAGGCAGAGGAGTGGCCTGAGGCGAGGAGTACGTGAAGCCGAAGCGCTGAAGGACCTGCTGCACCATGTGTGACTGAGTCAGGGTAATGGTGCGGCGTGCTCTGTCCCGGGTGATCTGCAGGCCAAGGTAGCTGCGCAGTTCACCCAGGTCTGTGCACGTGTGTCTCTTCTGCAGCTCGGACTTCACGTGGGCGAGTCCAGCAGTGTCTGCTGTGGCAAAGACCAAGTCGTCGACGTACACGAGGATGTAGAACGGCGGCAGAGAGGTGTCGGTGCGCAGAAACAGCGACGGGTCGGCAGTAGAAGGAGCAAACCCAAGAGCCGCAAGCGTAGTCCTCAGTGTGTCGTGCCACTCACGTGGCGCCTGGCGGAGACCGTAGACTGGACGCCGGAGACTCCACTGGGTACCAGGAGGGAAAGACCCAGTGAAGCCAGGTGGGCGGCGCAGCCAGATCTCCTCGTGCAGGCTGCCCTGTAAGAAAGCAGTGCTGAAGTCGAGAGAGTGCAG